TCTTTTTATTTTCTTCTTCCTGTAGATTTTTTACTGCTGGTCAGATAAGTTTGAGCCTCAGTTATAAAGGAGGTCTGAGGGGTTATATTTGTTTGGTTTAAGAGAAAGATGAGACTGATGATGGACAGCTGTGTTTTTTCCACGAGATTACCGTGTTTCCTGCTCATTTTCAGAAAAACGTAACGTTATTTATCGTAACTCTGGTTTTCTTCTCTCAAACAACACGATTTAAAAACTGCTGTATAGTTTGAAGTCTCTACTTTTAACAHTTTGTAACAGTCTCATGAGTTTTCCTCCATAAAAAATGCAAGTTGAAATCACATGACTGAATGACATCACGCCGACTTCAAGAATATTTAAAAACCAGTCACCTGACCTTTTGTTTGAACATCGTATGAAATGATGATGTAGTGCGAAAGCTTAAATATAACACATTTTAAATGCTACAAAACTAAAATAAATTAAACTGTTTTCAGGGTTTGAAGCTGTCCCCTATAGAAATGTGACAGATGAAGACCGCCTCGGACCCCTCCCCAGTGTCCCAGTAAAGGGCATTGACTGGCTCCTGGTCTTCTCCATCCTCTTCATCACTGGGTTCATGCTCTACGCCGTCCTAAGAGCAGACAACATGCGATGGCTCCTACCTGGACAGGAACACGAGCATCAGGACTGAAAACTGGTCAGATTTCAAGAAGGATGGGACGATTTTAGAAATGTCTAATCGACCTGTGTTGTAGGTGTTTGAAATAAAATATTTGAAGGGTTGTGATTTGAAAAACAAGAAAAAATTCATTTTCTGCAAACTTGCCGTTTGTGTGCTGAGTGTTGATGACTGATGTCGTTTGTTTTAAATGTTTAAGTTAAAACAATAGAAGAGACATTGAGTAAAATGAAAACAATCAGAATATGCACTTAATCGAAACATYAGCAGAACAACAAAAAACTGAACCAGTCAAACCAAAAGTAGATAAAASTTTTCTGAACTGTATCCTAAAGCTAAAGTTAGCAAAACAGTAGCTAAAATGAACAACACTGAAGCTACATCCTTAAAGTAGAAAAGCTGTAATTAAATGCTAAACTTAAAACTGTAGCTACAGAGTCATTAAGTGTATAGTCCTCTGCAGTTGAACTCCACTTGAAAACAGACCATTTTAGCCATAACTTGAGACAGGAAGGGCCTAGCTGCAGAAAACTTGAAAACCTTACATTTGGAAAGATGTTTAACAATTCGGCTTAGCCAAAAAAGCTCTGACCTACCCGAAAAATATCACTATTTTTAATCTGAGTGATAAAATCAGGGCTATTTGACCAAAAGCCACCATAAATATCTCTGCAAAGCTTTTATAATCACAGAGTGACGTCATTCAACTCATTTATGGACTTATGTCTGTGTTTTATTCATAAAAATTAACGTTTATTAATGAAGAAAGGCCAGGCAGAGGTGAAACATTTATTTATTTATAACTTTATTCATTTCTTTTAAAAAAAAAACGAAACAATTTATATACAATAAAAAACACAAACATAATGAAATGAAAGGTGGCAGAATGAAGAAAAAAATCTAAACATCATTTCCTGAATCTCAAACCTCAGTGAGAACTCCGCCCCCTCATTTGCATATTGGACCATGGAATTAAACGCCATGAAATTAAACGCCATGAAATTAAACGCCATGAAAT